CGGTGCGATATGCCGCGATACACGATCGCGGAGATCCGATCAAGGATTTAACGGCTGTGAGGATAGCTGGGATGCCGATCAGGCGTCCACGCATCCTTGGCCAAGTCGATATTCGAGAAGAGGATTGGAGAAATTGGAAGAAAATTCACCGGCAAGGATTTCCCGACTGATATTTTCGCTCGTGGACGAAAAAACAGGCTTACCCTCCGCCCGATTCCCTCGCGGGGAAACTTGCGACTTTTCTATAGAGATCTCGGGAGATCTAGAACTCGTCCTCTCTTTGTGCCCGATGATTGAACCCGCGACTGGGAGGGAGAACCGTGTCCCGAGCCTGGAATCAACGATCGAGACTGGAAATTACAACGAAGATGTATTAAATCAATTTCGATCCTGTCGTCCTCGTTCGCGAGAACAGATGACTATCTCGAGAAAAACGATCTTCTGAAGGAAGAAAGAGAGAGCCAGCTAACCCCAGAGGGAAAGAAGAACACACCGATACCAGGCGACGACGTTGTTCCTATTTCGCGCGAGCTGCTTTCCTGATGATGCGCACCTCGATGAGTCGGTTCACAGTTCGCCGATCTCGTGACTAATCAACCATGATCTTGCGTACGTGCGCACATGTACACGTCTCTCTGTACAGGTGTGTAGACTCCCTCTCTCACTCTCTTTCTCTCTCTCTCTCTCTCTCTCTCTCTCTCTCTCTCTCTCCCGTATTCTCTATTCCCGGCAGTTCGAAACCGGCTCGAATGCGTCGCACAAAAGCGACCGAGCGAGCGCTAGCGTGTGTCGAGTGTTCTCGTGAACACGCGAGGAAAACGCAGGAGCGAGCGAGCGAAACGAGCGGCGTAACGCGGAGATCCAGCCGTCGGTAACCTAAATTTACTCATTAGCCAAGGATGAACCCGGTTTCGCTGTTCTCACCGCGGCTTCGGGCTCGAGCTCGAGCCCGTGCTCGGGCGCTCGCGCGCGCGCGCGCACACCGACGCCTTCGCGATAATGCAGTATCGCTTTTCATCTGCCACTCCATTCGGCCCGATCTCTGGCTGCGCGCGTAGAGTAGACCTACTTTCCCCGTTTCGAGTATTTCAGACCGGGCGGGACAGTCTCTCCGCGCTCTCTCGCGAGAGAGACGCGATCGGTCCATTATCCCGATACGTTCGAGCCCGCCGGCCCCCTCGGCCGTCGTAAACCACTGGCCGAGCAACTCGTAAACCCCTGGTATTAGGTTTGTGCTCTCCCCTCCCGCCTACGAAACCAGCTTCTGGTCTCAGATCAGAGAAGAGAGAAGGAGAGACTGGAATATCGCGGGCTGGAAGCGTTAATCGGTTTTATGAGCACGCGTGAGCACGCGGCGACGCGTGAACTTTTTCAGACTGCATGAACATCGGATCGGTCGATTACACTTTCCTTGGTCGGCTCGCCTGTAAATATCCGCGGTACAGGTGCACACACTCTCCGTAAACCAATTATCCGCTGACACGGAAAGCCCGTGCTCTCCTCGTGCAGCGAGTTTCAAGGGCAGAGCTGACCCTCCCGACCAGCTAGCTCTCTCGCCCTAATGTCTCCATCCCCCGAGCCGCCGCCAAAGCCGCCGTCGATCCTCCACGGCAGCCTCTGACGGTAATTCGACGGTGGATTTGACGTTTAACCGCGCCGCTGCTGAATTATACGACTGCCCGCCGCGAGGATGTGACATCTCGAAAGAGTAACGGGCCGATATTGCTGTTGATGCCGATGAACCTTCGGGAACTGTCCCCGACTCGAGCCGAGAAACCGAAGTAAACGTGGCCCCGATACCGAATCGAACGGCCGCAACGCCGTTCGGCCACCTCGTAAGATTCGGGTCGCCACTTCGAACCTCATTTTCTCGCTCTCGCCTCCGTCCGTGAAAGCCCGCTGAATTATCCGCAATAATTCCGGCAGCGAGCCGTGTGTTTCGATATTAAACGGTGTAACTCCGGGTTACTGCTTGCTCCGGGGCCACCGGCCCGCCCCCTAGAGCAAATAAACCCCGCCCACTAACGTTTTAGCCGCGCGCGAATTCCGGATTCCTTGCATTTTTAACGATCGCGCGGCGCCGCGGTTCTAACGGCTCCGCGTGGAATTCATCGAGCGCAATCTCTGTCGCTGGCTGCTACGAGAAATTCATGAGATTCGTTTTTTACCGAAGCGCTAGGCTCCCGTCTTCGGATTCGTCTAATCGGGGTCGTTGATCTAGCGAGATTTCAAGAGACCGTTTCCGGCGACATGTATGNGTAGACTCCCTCTCTCACTCTCTTTCTCTCTCTCTCTCTCTCTCTCTCTCTCTCTCTCTCTCTCCCGTATTCTCTATTCCCGGCAGTTCGAAACCGGCTCGAATGCGTCGCACAAAAGCGACCGAGCGAGCGCTAGCGTGTGTCGAGTGTTCTCGTGAACACGCGAGGAAAACGCAGGAGCGAGCGAGCGAAACGAGCGGCGTAACGCGGAGATCCAGCCGTCGGTAACCTAAATTTACTCATTAGCCAAGGATGAACCCGGTTTCGCTGTTCTCACCGCGGCTTCGGGCTCGAGCTCGAGCCCGTGCTCGGGCGCTCGCGCGCGCGCGCGCACACCGACGCCTTCGCGATAATGCAGTATCGCTTTTCATCTGCCACTCCATTCGGCCCGATCTCTGGCTGCGCGCGTAGAGTAGACCTACTTTCCCCGTTTCGAGTATTTCAGACCGGGCGGGACAGTCTCTCCGCGCTCTCTCGCGAGAGAGACGCGATCGGTCCATTATCCCGATACGTTCGAGCCCGCCGGCCCCCTCGGCCGTCGTAAACCACTGGCCGAGCAACTCGTAAACCCCTGGTATTAGGTTTGTGCTCTCCCCTCCCGCCTACGAAACCAGCTTCTGGTCTCAGATCAGAGAAGAGAGAAGGAGAGACTGGAATATCGCGGGCTGGAAGCGTTAATCGGTTTTATGAGCACGCGTGAGCACGCGGCGACGCGTGAACTTTTTCAGACTGCATGAACATCGGATCGGTCGATTACACTTTCCTTGGTCGGCTCGCCTGTAAATATCCGCGGTACAGGTGCACACACTCTCCGTAAACCAATTATCCGCTGACACGGAAAGCCCGTGCTCTCCTCGTGCAGCGAGTTTCAAGGGCAGAGCTGACCCTCCCGACCAGCTAGCTCTCTCGCCCTAATGTCTCCATCCCCCGAGCCGCCGCCAAAGCCGCCGTCGATCCTCCACGGCAGCCTCTGACGGTAATTCGACGGTGGATTTGACGTTTAACCGCGCCGCTGCTGAATTATACGACTGCCCGCCGCGAGGATGTGACATCTCGAAAGAGTAACGGGCCGATATTGCTGTTGATGCCGATGAACCTTCGGGAACTGTCCCCGACTCGAGCCGAGAAACCGAAGTAAACGTGGCCCCGATACCGAATCGAACGGCCGCAACGCCGTTCGGCCACCTCGTAAGATTCGGGTCGCCACTTCGAACCTCATTTTCTCGCTCTCGCCTCCGTCCGTGAAAGCCCGCTGAATTATCCGCAATAATTCCGGCAGCGAGCCGTGTGTTTCGATATTAAACGGTGTAACTCCGGGTTACTGCTTGCTCCGGGGCCACCGGCCCGCCCCCTAGAGCAAATAAACCCCGCCCACTAACGTTTTAGCCGCGCGCGAATTCCGGATTCCTTGCATTTTTAACGATCGCGCGGCGCCGCGGTTCTAACGGCTCCGCGTGGAATTCATCGAGCGCAATCTCTGTCGCTGGCTGCTACGAGAAATTCATGAGATTCGTTTTTTACCGAAGCGCTAGGCTCCCGTCTTCGGATTCGTCTAATCGGGGTCGTTGATCTAGCGAGATTTCAAGAGACCGTTTCCGGCGACATGTATGTTTTCAGCCACCATCATTTCGATTCAGGCGTGAAAGTAGCTCTCTAAGTTCGGGCTGTACACCATTTTAACCCTCATACGCTTCTAGGATGAAAATTCCATCCAGTTTTTGTTCTCGAATGTGACAAGATGTTTGATTTCTGAAACCGCTTGGGGGTTGTTAGCCTTCGGACCGTTTCGATCCGATGCGACAAACCGTGAACGACGCACTTCGGGCGGCAAAGAAGCCCGTGTATATGTATTTGACGAGTACAAGTTTAAGATATCCGTTTCTCGGGGTTCGCAGCTGCAATGAGAAAACTGTAGTGTTTACTAGAGATGCACTTCAAGAGTGTGTTCACAGACTTCGCAGATGATAGACCTAATCAGAGCCAATTTTACAGTTGTCCTAGACGCGTGATTCCCGCGGGTCGATGTATATAGTATGACAGTGGATGATGTCTGAGGATCGGTGTAACTATTTCTAAGGAACGTATGAGGGTTAAGCAGCATCTGTTTAGAAGGGTGATTTTAGCATTAAGCACTATGATCAAGCATCAAACTTCTCTCTGTATTACGTAGCTTCCAAGATAAACAACCAATTACAGCAATCCTAATTCGGGGAGCTATTTTCATTCCCAACACAAACGACGGCCGCTAAACACAATTAACACACACCGAATACTTCTCCGAGTTCTATCTATACAAGATTCATTAAAAACCAGAGGACGCTAATCGACCATATAACACAGCCCTGGTAAGCACGAAGCAGTCGATCCACGAAGTGTCACATCCTCGCCGGCGTCCCGATCCGTGTGTCGTCGCCTCTCGATTACTATCGGACACGAGAATCTGAACGAAAGAAAGAGTCATATTGGTGTTCCCACTACGAGAGAGGAGAGGGAAAAAAAACTGTCTGGTAGCACAATACTTACATGAGAGGTCGTGATACGCGACGGTCGGGATAGCTTCGAAAAGAACAAATGGTAACGCGAGGGCGACTGCAACAACGGGCCTATCGTGTGCTCGCGGCTCTTCGGGGTTGTATATAATTAAACCCCTCGGACCGAAGAAGATTCGGCTGATCAATAACCAGCGACGGTCGACGTAAGTAAAAGGGGGGAAGAAAATAGAGTGATCGAACGTGGACTCACCCTTCTCGGACTCGTCAGGCTCGGGCGTGCTGCGCTCCTCCTCGCTGCTGCTGAAGCTCCTTTGGGGCTGAAGAGCGCCCTGTCCGCCCACGGACTGTGGGGGACGCGCGCTCTGCATCTGATGCACCGAATGTTGCTGAGGAGGATGGACCTGGGATCGAGGCGGGCCAGCTTCTACCGTCGGCTGGCCATATGTCATCGCGAGCTCCGTGTTCTGGTCCTGCGAACCGAAAAAAGCTCGGGATCTATACGGTTCCAGGGACGGAGGGGCAGGATCTCGCGCGACCTGCGGACAAAACTCGACCGAAATCCCACGAGAGCGAGAGCGAGTCCACAAGAGAACATGTCGGAGCGTTCACGGATACATCCGTTTCGTCGGGGAGACTTACTGATATCTTCTCGAGGTAGCAGCCTCGGTATCCGCGTCGAACACAGAGCGAGAGCGAGAGAGAAAGAGAAAGAATGAAAGAGAGAGAGAAAGAGAGAGAGAGAGGGAAAGAGTAAGAGAGCTGACTCTACTAAAAAGAAGCAGAACAAGAGAGATACGGGAGAGAGCTTGCTAAACTCATACCGGTTCCGCTAGCGTTTCTAACAGATACTCTACCTACATCTTGCAGGATTGTCTAAAGTAATACAAGCAAGAACGATTGTTACTCTGGATCTTACTTGGCAAACAGGGATGTTACGCTAACTATATAGTATAGTATATGTATATTATATATGTATATTATATATATATATATATATAAATATATAAATATAATATATATATATATATATTTAACTTGATGCTTCGATAACGAGTGCACAAGGTACGCCGCGTTATTTTGTAGCTCGACTACGATGCGCCGATGTCGATAAGGGGACGTGCTGAATCGAAGAATGACGGTGGCAAATGTTCGATGGCGGGATGATCGAAGGCGCGGGAGATAAGATAAGTCGCGCGTGAATCGATTATCAACAGGGCCGAGGCGAGTACCTGGAACCAGGATAAAGCGCCAGCCGTCCCCCCTTGTTCCATTCGATAACTTCGTTTCGCGGATGTTCCGGAAACTGCTCGTTCGAGAGGCCTCTCGAGCACCGCCTACGCAAGAATATCGGCTAGCGGCGCTCCTACGCGCTCGCAGCTCTCGTTTCACGAGAACAGAGAGAGAAAGAAAGAGAGAAAGAGAGAGTAAGAGAGAGAGAGAGAGAGAGAGAGTGGGAGGAAGATAGAGAGCCAGCGTACTTGTTGAATGTTTAATTTTCCAAGAGTCTCGCAGCGTCTCGAGCGTTAACGTCATCGTCGGGACGAGCCGGCTCGATCGAACGAGGGAATCGGGCTTCCTTACCGGGTAGATCTTTCGTTGACGTTGGTAATTTTGTTGCTGTTTCAAAAGACCGTCGATCTCGCCGATGTACAGGCTCGGGTCATCCTCGTCGAACGCGTCCGGGTGCCGCGGCGGCTGCTGCGACTGATGAGCGGATGCTACTTGAGGCGTCGGCAACGTCCTCGTGTGAGGAGACACCGACATGTCCACTCTATCGCTTGTGGACAACGGACGCGCTGGCACCTGAAATCGCGACCAGCAACTTCCATTTCTCGTACGAGACCCCAGCGGCCCGGTTTCGCCCGCGATCCGCTCGCAACATTCTTGCGGAACTGTGCCGTCTGCGTCGTGGCTCTAGGCGACCTTTCGAGCTGCGCGACTTTGGACCATTCACAAAGGGAACCAGGATTCGTTCCGCAACTCCCGATCGATATTTTTAGCAAAATACAGGACTCGTTTTATACTCTTAAGCGGGCAGCAACCCATGCCGCAACTTCGGACTTTGTGTCTGTCGCAGTCTATTTTCGTGGCTCTAGAGTGTCGTCAAACTTGCTACAGGATATTTTCGAACTTGCTGAGTGTCGGAGGAAATGTTGCTTGTTGATTTTAGGGTCGAACGATCTACGGTGGATTTTGTTATCAGAAACAGTTGCGTCAAAGATCCTAAGGATCGCCTATCTTTATTTTTTTCTCTCGGCAATTTATGTCGGTTCTGTTTCGTTCATAGCGGCTGTTTCGACTAACAACTGAAACGGAAACTTAGCGAATTTTTACCCTGAGAAACGTATGAGGGTTGAGATATACGACGAATTACATTTCACTCGTAGAACAAGTACTCGTCAATAAGTACTCTTCGTATACGCTTTCTTTGCGTCGCTAATCGTTCGTGTCGACGAGCGAAACGCAACCTTTAACGTAGACGTAATCGCTAATATTCCCTTTGATAGGATCGAATGCGTGAATGCAAAGTGTGTGCTGTACAGATGATACCTTGAGCTAGAAAATCTCGGCGCAAGGACAAAGATGATCGCTAAAAGCTGCGCGAAAGACGGAATCGTCCAAAGTGTCGCCGGTCAGGATTCGTGAGTATGGCGGTGTGAGTATACGTATTATGGTGATATAAAAAAGGGCGTCTCGGCTAGGCACCGCCGAGTTTGGTAGCATACAGGATAAGAGCGGCGGTGGGGGGGTTATAGGNATCGAAGGCGCGGGAGATAAGATAAGTCGCGCGTGAATCGATTATCAACAGGGCCGAGGCGAGTACCTGGAACCAGGATAAAGCGCCAGCCGTCCCCCCTTGTTCCATTCGATAACTTCGTTTCGCGGATGTTCCGGAAACTGCTCGTTCGAGAGGCCTCTCGAGCACCGCCTACGCAAGAATATCGGCTAGCGGCGCTCCTACGCGCTCGCAGCTCTCGTTTCACGAGAACAGAGAGAGAAAGAAAGAGAGAAAGAGAGAGTAAGAGAGAGAGAGAGAGAGAGAGAGTGGGAGGAAGATAGAGAGCCAGCGTACTTGTTGAATGTTTAATTTTCCAAGAGTCTCGCAGCGTCTCGAGCGTTAACGTCATCGTCGGGACGAGCCGGCTCGATCGAACGAGGGAATCGGGCTTCCTTACCGGGTAGATCTTTCGTTGACGTTGGTAATTTTGTTGCTGTTTCAAAAGACCGTCGATCTCGCCGATGTACAGGCTCGGGTCATCCTCGTCGAACGCGTCCGGGTGCCGCGGCGGCTGCTGCGACTGATGAGCGGATGCTACTTGAGGCGTCGGCAACGTCCTCGTGTGAGGAGACACCGACATGTCCACTCTATCGCTTGTGGACAACGGACGCGCTGGCACCTGAAATCGCGACCAGCAACTTCCATTTCTCGTACGAGACCCCAGCGGCCCGGTTTCGCCCGCGATCCGCTCGCAACATTCTTGCGGAACTGTGCCGTCTGCGTCGTGGCTCTAGGCGACCTTTCGAGCTGCGCGACTTTGGACCATTCACAAAGGGAACCAGGATTCGTTCCGCAACTCCCGATCGATATTTTTAGCAAAATACAGGACTCGTTTTATACTCTTAAGCGGGCAGCAACCCATGCCGCAACTTCGGACTTTGTGTCTGTCGCAGTCTATTTTCGTGGCTCTAGAGTGTCGTCAAACTTGCTACAGGATATTTTCGAACTTGCTGAGTGTCGGAGGAAATGTTGCTTGTTGATTTTAGGGTCGAACGATCTACGGTGGATTTTGTTATCAGAAACAGTTGCGTCAAAGATCCTAAGGATCGCCTATCTTTATTTTTTTCTCTCGGCAATTTATGTCGGTTCTGTTTCGTTCATAGCGGCTGTTTCGACTAACAACTGAAACGGAAACTTAGCGAATTTTTACCCTGAGAAACGTATGAGGGTTGAGATATACGACGAATTACATTTCACTCGTAGAACAAGTACTCGTCAATAAGTACTCTTCGTATACGCTTTCTTTGCGTCGCTAATCGTTCGTGTCGACGAGCGAAACGCAACCTTTAACGTAGACGTAATCGCTAATATTCCCTTTGATAGGATCGAATGCGTGAATGCAAAGTGTGTGCTGTACAGATGATACCTTGAGCTAGAAAATCTCGGCGCAAGGACAAAGATGATCGCTAAAAGCTGCGCGAAAGACGGAATCGTCCAAAGTGTCGCCGGTCAGGATTCGTGAGTATGGCGGTGTGAGTATACGTATTATGGTGATATAAAAAAGGGCGTCTCGGCTAGGCACCGCCGAGTTTGGTAGCATACAGGATAAGAGCGGCGGTGGGGGGGTTATAGGGCGGTGTTTACTTTGCGGATATTCTGTTTCGTATTTTTGGTACATCCAGAGCAACAGTGCGTGCACGAGCGCTATTTAAATATATACCGCCGCGGGGACACTACCCCGCGGTCGAACAGATAAATGAGAATGATGATTAGAAATCGTACTTGCTCTTGCTGAGAGTACTGTCTTCTGAGCTGACTCGCGCTCCTTTGTAACAAGGGCAGATTCTCCTTCTCAGCGGCGCTGTGCGCTCTCTCGAGTTTCAGTCTTTTATCCTGAGTTTGGTCCATGAGTCCCGGAGGACCACCCACCTGCATGTCCTGCATCTGTTGCAGCATCGCGTTGTCCGCGGTGCTGAGGGCCGTGTTCGTCATCCATACTCCGGTCCTCGACACGAGTTCTTGCTTCTTGCGGCAGATGATGCACACCCATATTACCTGCAATCAAAATTTCGTGTCATTTCGTGGGAAACAAAGTTCTACGAAACGGAGAATAATTAAAAAGCCTCGAACAGAGATTAACGTTTGCGATAATTCGTACATTCTCGCGAGACATTGTGCTTTCAATCTGTTTAATCTGAAGAAAAAAGACTGCGGTTTTATATTTTTAATGTTCATGGCATCAAGCTACATTAACCTTAGATTGATGACGTATGTCAAATTGACTCCTAACACTAGTGGTGATGCACGTCAAATTGACTCCGTATCACTACAATAGTAGTGACTTGACGTCCAATTGATTCCTTATCGTCAGTGGCACTACTATCGATATGATGTCAGCTTGACGTCAAGTCACCATTGTTGATAGGGAGTTAACTTGACGTCACGATACCACTAGTGATATTAAAACAGCGGTCACCACTTGAAAGATAACCTTGCAATTGCATCACTACGTGCGACATCCAAGATTTCAAATTCACGTGAAATCTATCTAACATCGACAATGGAATTGTAGATGTACACCGTGTTTTTATGGTATGTTTAATGGACTAGAGATTTTCATGTAAATCAATATAGCCTTAAAAATTGAATAAGTCAAAACGTTTTCAACAATTCTAGCGGAGCCTGGAAATTTCTACGAACACCACGTTCTCGCGTTCTGCTCGATAAACTGTAGACGCTCCTGTAAATTAACGTTTCCGCAGTTCAGGAAGGATGGTTAAACAAAATCCCAAGTAACCGCAGCGTTTCCGCATGTTCGGAAATGCTGCAATTTTGAAAACCGAATCGCTCGGGGCAGCAACTTGGTGAAATTTCGCGACCCCGGGTGCTCCCCGGTGTCCCAAAAGCTGAAAGTTTCAAAAAGCCCGGTTATCTGAAAGACGTCGAGGTTGTTCAGCGCTCCAGAGCCTACGGTCTTTGCCAGCCGAGTCCCGAGTGCCCTGTTTTAGCTAAAATCTTTAATAACATCAGGCCGTAGAGTCGCGGAGAGAAAGAGTCCTGGATCCGACCGATCCAGGTCACCGGCTGCTTCGAGGATATTGCTAGGAAATTATCCGTAGGAAGTCGACCAGTTACTACGCAAATTGAACCGTGTAGGCTGAAGGTTCGATTCGCCGATTCGTCGGGCGCGTGTGTTCCTCTGCGTGCTCGGAAACGACGTGCCCCTTTTTTTTTCTTTTGCCAACCGATATTCGAGAGTCGGGCCGCGCGGACCGGGAAGCGTGTTAAAAATAAAAGAAGCCGGGAGGGTGCAGCGAGCCAAAAACGCCGGAGAAGTCGAACCGAAACGTATTTTTGGCGTCAACCTTCGCGGGAAAACTCCCGGCGGCCTTGCCGTCGGAGGGAAACTGTAAAATCCCGTTTAACGAAGTCCCTGGCTCCGTGGCGGGCCATCGCCTCGGGCTGAATTCTTATGCAAATCCCCGCTGCTCCCGGTAACGTTAAATTAAATCAAGCAGATCCGCAGCCGATGCAGCGGCGAACGAAAATAGCTGGCTGGAATCCGCTGCTACTAGCCGAAGGGCTCGCGTTGCTGACATTTTAGGGACCTGGGACTCAAGAAACGCGCGGGCTCTTTAAATTAAGCCCCGACGGAGTTTATGCTATCTGCCAAAGATGTGGACGATGAAGAAAGGATGAAGAGAACTCGAAGAAGCTGATGAAGTGGCGTTCTACTTGGAACTTATACCGAATTTGTTGGATTCGAGAGATCGTCTGATGAAAGATGCACAATTGTCTGTCGAGTCCAGAAGATTTTACGATGTTCAATTAGGCTGGAAGTGAAATCATTTTGAAGACATTTAATTTTTATGCAAAATTTTGTAATGTTCCCGATTACTTGGATTTTCATTGTTACGTTATATCGCTTCTCTAGAAAATAAAATTATACAGTTATTATTACCTGTTCTTGACAGGGATTCGTTGGGGAGCCCAAGATAGACGCGGACTTAATCAAGCATCTATCCTGTTTACTGCAAGTTGAGGAAGTTTCGTGTGAATGCACATGCACATGCATGCAGAATAACCTATCTTTAAAGACTGATGCGCATGTGGGGTGATAAATCTACTGCGCGTATGCTGTCATTATTATTATTATTATTTTTGTGACTTTGCTGAACGGAAACTCGATAGAAGCATTAAATATATAATATAATTCACATGATTTTTTAAATAGATAAATATGAGTTAGAGAAATGAGAACGAGAAAAATAAGTTTGAATTAAGAACAATTATGTACGTGCGACGCTGAAGCAAAGGTGACCGATTAATTGAAGTTTAGAATAGAACTCAATCGCGAATCGTGTTAGGATGGCTACGATAAACAAATGGAAGAGGTCAGGTCCTGGTGGGAGCACCAGAAACGTGGGCGAACGAAAGTAAAACGGGATCGAACGTCTCGGATCGAAAAGCACATTCTTCGCGGCGACCATTCACGCCCGGTACAATGAACGAAGGCTAATAATTAGCGGGGTACCGCGACGGTCGGCCGTTTTGAAGGATGAATAGGCCGGGCAGAATACTCCATCAAGATAAAGCGTGATGGATGGACCATTTAGAAGCGAACCATAAAACAATGCCCATGTCGGTTCCCATCGATAACACTTTCCATGCCCATTCACGCGTATTATTGCGCGAACTAAAATGGCGTGAGCAACGCCCCGCAAGAACAGCCGCGACTCCTCGTTGAATTACGAGCGTCGCGGCCTCCGGAGTCGCCGGGGATTAAAACGAGCTTTCAACGGACCGAATCATTCGATTTCGGGGCAAACTTCATTTCCGAAGATTTCGTCTCTCCCTTTTTTCTCCTGTCTCCTCTGCCAGCGGAATCCGGTCCGCTCGAAATTGTGCATCGATGTACTGACCCGATTAACAAATTGTCTATTTACGAGCGTGTAAACTTCGTATGCGACGCTGACCGAATGCAGTTCTTGGCTTCGAATGATCACGGGACAATGGGAATGCTGGACTCGAACGTTATTTTTAGAAATTGAACTGCAGCAACTCGTCGACTAACCCGTTTTTGGCACATTGGGAGCACTATTTCTTGTCTATCTTCGGATTTATTTCTCATTTACATTACAATCGCACAACCGTAATCTATCAACAACAACATTTTTGCCAATTCTCCGAGGATTGAGAAAGACACCCCCAAACTTTCAGCTTGAGTTGTTCGCGTCGTCATCGTTGCGAAAAAATTCTCTCTAAAGCCACCCCCTTCGCCAACCCAAGGAAAGACGCATCTTCGTCTTTCTGTTCTTATTCAACCGTCATAACCAAATTATAGCGTACTCTCTGAACACTGCTGAAAATACGCCCACAGCTTCAGTTGACTGCCTTTGGTTCAAAGATAAACGAAATAAAAAATTAAAAAATTTAATACATCTTATTCGATAAATATAAAGTTAATTATGCAAGATACAAACCGAAACTATGGCAATTGATCATCCCAGAGAAACCGACTCCACTACCCTTCGTATCCTACCGTCGCAACGTCTCAAGAAAATTCTTTGCACGCCCATCCCGTCGAAATAACGCATCCTTCGTCCGGCATTTAATTACTTTGCAACGATGAAACAGGTCGAACGTTTCAATCGAATCGCGTTTACGCGATTGTTGGCTCTTGATACGCGTCGCCTAGCACAGCAGGAGAGCGGTAGAGAGCAAGGGAGCGGGAGAGAGCGAGAAAGATAGAGGGGTTGCGTTTTCATTTCGTCCCCGTTGCGCGGATTAGCGGGCCAGGGAATATGGGCTCGCGGATCCGGATTGGATTCATCGAGTAATGATAATGGGCAACAATAATTGTGCAAACTGCGCCGCGTGGCCGGGGCGGGTGGGTATCGATTCATCGAGGATATTCACGCGCGAACAACCGGCCACCCCCGCTCGCGTCCCGTAATTGCGTGACGTTCCCCGCGGAAGTTGCTCGCGGCCCCGGGACAGGGAGCAAAAGAGAGAAAGAGAGAGAGAGAGAAAGACCGAGTGCAAGTTAGAGAGAGAAAGATAGACAGAGAAAGAGAACGAAGAGAGAGGGAGAGAGAGAGAGAGAAGAGAGGAAAAAAATACTTGGGGGCTGATTGCCGCGTTCCACTTATTTCGCGTTAACCCGACCGGCCTCGGGTTCGGTCATTTTGACCGAGTTCTGTTTATCGATCAAATAGACCGATTGCCAGCGCGAGCTTCAACCCCCTCGAAGGCCGCTCCGTGGACAGACACGGCCAGAGAAAAGATGGAAAAAAGGGAAAGGGAAAAGAGGGAAGAGGAAAAGAGGGAAATTCCGCGCGCCGACCCGGCTGCCCCGGTTCTTAGGATATTTCGCGAGAGGCGAGTCGCGAGGCCCGGCTGCGCGCAATCGCGCTGACACGCGCCGCCGAGATCAATTACATCGCGTTAATAATGTAACTCTGATTCGCTGATGAGATCCTCCAAATGTCAACCTATATCCGAGCGTCGCAGAAATAGTTGCGATTTTCGCTACGTTAGATTATTCTGAGACTGTGCTATGGGATCAATTTGTTAGTCACACGAGCGTTCTCTCGAGAGTCGTGCAAATTATGTGCCGAGAGGTTTCTCCTATTAAACGCACACCTTATTATTACAATATTTATCTAGCACATGCAACGGTTCCGTTCACAAAGTGCTCTACATAGACCGATGCGGACGATTTCGTTGGCCCCGTTTTGGATTGTTGTTTCTAGATTGTTCGTGTAAGCATGGGAAAAGTAAATTTGAGGTAAGCAACATTAACTGTTTAACGCGTTAACCAGTCGTTCGAAAAAGGAACTTTTGTTGACGGTAGAGCTTAATATTGGTTTTAAGAATCTGAAGGAAAATCTCTATTTATTTTCATCACGTGTCTCGTGAATAGTTCTGCTGAAATTAGATGAAGTAAGCGAAAAATGAAACTCGGTCTCATTTCGGTCCCTTCTGCAACTAAAAAGGTTTTTGTCGAATCCATTCGTTGCAATACATTACCAAAAGTTACCAGAACCGAGTCT